AGATTTTCCTATTTGATGTAGGGAAAACTCTTCCTTATAGAGTCCATTTGATTTATTGTACCGTTCACTTTCGCAAGACTAAAAGAGGACCTGTAAACGTTTTTCAACACCCTTTTTCAATTTTTCCCTCACCCTTTCACAGTGACGAGCTCTCAAAAAACTTGATATGTCATCTAAATGTGGTTTCGCGAGCTCCAAATACTACTAAAGTAATTTGACACTCTGTTTTCGACCTTTTTCTTTCGCACTTTGAATCAGTGTGCTAGACGAGAACGTTTGTATGACGTCTTGCTGCACTGATTGCGACTTTTCCAAGTTTTAAGTCTTAACGAATCGATTCAGGCTGTACTTTTCAAATATAGGAATTCTTGCCATGCAGTGTCTTGCTGCGAAATCTCACCACTCTTCTTTCTGAATCTCAGTTCGTGATTGATTTGGTGATAGACATCATAAGCATGTCACATTATTTTCCTTGAATTCACTTGTCATCACTTAAACTTTCTTTGAAAATGGCTTGGGAAGTAGTCAAGCATATTTCGAAAAAGAAACTATAATTTTTACGTCTTTTTCCAGCAATTTCCATTACAGGTTTTTTCCGTCTCAGGCTCGAAGTCGTTGGTCGTTCCATACAAAAATGATTAATTACAGGACTTTATGAAACCACCCGTATGGGATGAAAACACCTTCAGAGATGTTTTGATTCCAACTGTTTGCTCCTCCATCAGCGAGGGGGTCAACGGGATTTTGAAGAAGCACATTTTATCATCAAGTATCATATGCCGTACAGTGGATCCAGAAGACGAGAATTTTCCAATATTCACGTATGTCGGCGTCTTTTTATAACAAAGGTAACAGCTGTTTTTTAGGCATGGCGATCGTTCTTCGGCAAACTACTGGAAAGAAGTTGCTGGCAGGTTTGGTGTGTCCTACTGTAGGACGGAGGGAGATGTGAGTCTTAACTTCCTGTAATTGTATGTAATTACCAGGTCATTTTTACCAGGTAAAAATGCTTTCAGGTGATTGTCGAAACAGAATTCCGTCCTTTTCGGATTATTCCTCACATCGTCCCCATTGTCGCTATCATTTATTGCGACAAACAGCTGGTCATTGTCTATGATGAACTGAGTCCCGATTGGGTGGATCTGAATGTTGTTTTACGATATCATTACGCTAACATCGAGCAATATTCACAGGTATTGTCCGAGTGAATTTTTTTCTTGACAATATCTAGGTGAATCTGGAAAGGTGGGCTTTTGATCTGGGAACACCGATGGAAGAGTCCTAATCAATCATTGCCGAAGCTGGACCTCATGTTATTCGCAAAAATAATCCAATATTAACTTTCCCCCTTACCGTAATCATTTGCGGCCTAGTCATAGTCCATGAGTACAGTACTCTGCAAGAAACAATTTTGAATTACTTGACCACGGAAAATTCATGTGTTTTGCCACTTATGCGTGGCTTCAAAGCAAAGAAAGACCATGGATAAACCCATAAGAATTTTATATTAAGATGTGAACAGTTGTTTAAGTACGGGAATTTTTTTTTGTTTCAGGTTCACAACTTCGTCGTAGCATCTGTTGCTGACGTATACTTTCAACTGGATCGTTTGAGATTTTATGTGAAGAATCCATTATTTCTCTGCGACAATGTATTCTGGTTGCTGTGTGATCCATTTGCAAGTAGCCACGACGAATATCCTTTTGAGGATTTCGAATATCAAAGGTGACTTTTTAGAATAGATACGATCATTTTCAACCAAGTCAAAAACCTCGGGCACTGCAGTTTTTTTTCCAGACAATGCGAAAACATTTCAAGTGGAAATTGTGCTGCTTGAGTAGCTGTTAAATATTTTTCACTTCATTACAAACCATTTCATTCGCTTTCACTTCCTAAATAGCATCACTTATAGTCCCACAACTTCAAACTGGGTCAATGGAACCATGTCGAACTACGATTATATAATGGTACTAAATAAAGCTGCAGGTCGCATCAGAGGAGACGGTACGCAATCTACAGTTTGAGAAAAAAAACCAAAAATTTGATATTTTTCCATTCAGTGCATAATCATCCGATATTTCCTTGGGTTTGTGACTTCAAACAGAAAGACGGCGGATGGCGCGATCTCTCAAAAACGAAGTACCGCCTTACTAAAGGAGACGATCAGTTGGGGTCAGTTTATTTTCTCATTTAACCATACAGTGGGATGAATTTTAGGCAAAATTTTCAACATCTATCGCATCATATTCCTGAAGTCTTGTCTGACATTGGGTACATGGTCTACAAAGCTCGAGTGGAGTCGAAAGCAAACCTTTGCAAGCATGTTCGCAGCAATGTTCGTAATGCTTTTTCACAGTTTCATAAAAGCTCTGAACTAAGTTTCTTTTCCAGTGGGTACCAGAGGAATATCCAGCAAGTATGGTCCGAATGTACGAATGGACACCAGACGAGTGTATACCCGAATTCTATGACGATTCTTCAGTCTTGGGCAAGTTGAGCCAAGAGTTTGTGATCCAAAAATCATTTATCTTTGTTACAGTGTCGAAGCACCAAGACATGCCCGATTTGGAGCTTCCATCATTTGTCGCATCCCCAGAAGAGTTCATTAAATGGCACATGGAAATGCTGGAAAGTGATGAAGTGTCGGGACATCTCCATAAGTGGATCGATCTCAACTTTGGACACACTGTAAGCAAGACTATTTACGGAAAAATTCCCATATATCTGTCCACAAACTCAACTTTTCTCCTTCGCAGTTATTTGAATTTGTCCATTCATCGGCAAAATTTGACCCCATTTATGTCCTTTTCCTTTTCCTTCATTTACCCCTTCATTATCTCAGCAGTGGATTTCAAATTTGATAGGAAAATTAAGTTAAAAGTAAGCACCAATTGCTTGGAATGGATTTACTTAATTATATTCACAGTTATCTGGCGACATGGCGATCGACAGTCTCAATGTGCATATGTGCTTTTCGGAACCCAAAACTCATCGACTGCGGACTAACGGAGTGGTGAGCCTAATCCTCCAAGAAGATTTTTCCATGAAAGGAAAATTCAGGTGCAATTGTTTCATCGTCCTCATCCTAAACGACTTCGGGGAACAAGTGGTAATCCTCTTGTGGATCTAGAGAGTCGCGGTTTCGAACTGAAAGGTCAGCATAATAGCATTTGTTTACACCTAATCGCTTAGTTTAATGAACGCAGCTTATGACATTCTATTTCTCGAATCAAAAAAATTCCCGAAGTTGTCCGAATAATTGCATTATAATATACAATGCAATATTTAACGATGAGAAATATCCATGACACAAGTTTACCAGAATTTTTCTCTCAAATATCTTTCAGATTTTTCTGCTGAAGTTTCTGAAAAATCCGATAACGAACCGAAATCTTTGTTGGAAATATATCAACGCAAAATGAAGGTGTGCTGCTTGAGGACAAGCCCTGTAGACCAAGTCCAGATTTTCAGGAGCTAAAATTCAATACACCTGCTGAGGAAATGTTCCTCTCATTCGTGCACACTTTATTTCGATTTCGGGGTCACTTTCTGAGGTTCAAGCCGCTGCAAGAGTTTGCTGCAAACAACAAACGATACATAGAAAACTCCTTCGATTTGCCCAGGTGCTACTATTTTCTTCGTTGGGCAAGGCAGTTTGATCGATCCTTTTTGGCATTTTACTATTGTAGCTCTTGGTCAGAGCTCGTCAGTGAGATCGTAGATGGCTGCGCTGAGTTCACCAACTCCAGACGAATCCCTTTTTACCTTCTCCATGCTCTTGAAATTCCTATGGAGGTACTCTTTTGTCGGTTTTTTCCTGCCCATTTACCATCATTTGAAAAAAAGTTCAGGTGATCGATTTCCACGACACCATCTCTCACTATTACTCATTCCATCTCCTCCGGAAATCTATTGTAGTTCAAGGCAATGGTGAGTTTACCAATTTGATGGACTGTTTTACACGAATGCTGTGTAGACCGTTTATTTAGAGATACGACTCCAAGAAGTCTTGCTGCGTGAAATCGATGCGCTCAAAAATGCTATGGAAAGTTGTGCCATGGAGAACTCCTTGGTTCGAATATTCGAACGGATGATCGCAGACAAAGAATCCGCTGTGCAGGCGGTATGGGTTGTCTAATCCTCGCCATCTCTTTTAGAGCACAACAAATTTTTTCGCACATGGTGGCCGTCCAAAGAAACTAGTTGTTGAGATTATCTCACTTTTCAGAATATAGCAGAAAACAAGAGGCATACCATTACGAAGAGCTTAAAACGCTGATTTTAAATCTGCCTTCCCTAACTGCAGAGCTCTTCTGGGAAGGAAGTTATGGATTTTTACTTTGGCGAAAATTGCAAGGCTGAGAGCAGCCAGGATCATCATTAACTAAGCATTTTGCTTTCAAACCGTCTTGGAACGGTTTATCCATGCTTAATACAATAGTGAC